GGATAGCCTTGCCAGGACGAAGTCTATTTAAAACCACCAATGCAGCGTACGAACCTGCAGCGTGAGTTTTCACAATTTCGTGCTTCAGCGTTCATCTGATCATTTCGACCCACCAATGGGGACCTATTTGTCAACGATCCGCTCATGAAAATAACTACGCTTATGCGTATAAATTCAGATAACTGCCGCATATAAATTATTATTTAATACTTGAGATTTATGTTGAAAGATTCATTTGAGCAATTCATGTCAAGACGACGCGAGATCGCGTAGCAATCAATTACAATATTTACTTTTAATTGAATAAGATTTCTTAGATCATAATAAAAAAATTCAATACTTTCGGGAAGGACAAAAACAATAAGTATTGATTCCTCACTCCGAGTATTATACGAATCGAATATTCACAAATCTGTCCACATTTAATAAACAGGCTACCAGTCTCCCCTTTTTTTATTTTATTAATATGCTTTTATTATTCAATATGATGCTTATTCGTCGTGTATTATCTATTTTTTACTCAACTTACGCTGCAGTATCCTAGTGAATGACACACCAACTATAAAATATTACATTTATATTTCAACTTGTACAAACCACGATGATCTTCGGGTGTGTAATGTGACTTTTATAAACGTACTACTGAACTAATTAATTAATCCATATAATAATTATTATCCATACTTAAATCTCACCGCTATTTGGTGTTTGTTGAAGAATAGCTTATATATATCTTTCTTTTTTATATTCTATCTTATTGTGTAAATTATATTATTAATTCTAAACCTTATTGTCTCTAACTTTAATCGTGGAGTACAGAGGAGGACGTGTCTCTGATGCGCGGGAGTGTGAAGATCAATTTTAAATCAATTTTCGAATGGAATCTTAAGTTAAAGCCATTTAGCCGTAATGCATAGTATATTATATATAGAATATAACTATAATAACCTTATTAGATGTATAGTATACGTATAGTATATATAGTATATAAGTTATATATATAGTTTATAGTAATAGTTAGTTATAGTATATAATAGGATATAAGTATAGTATAGTATCGTATGTATATATACTATAGTATAGTACGGTATAGATCAATAGTCTATATATGATATCCACTTAGATAAGTAAAGTATATTAGTATAGATATTATATAGTATAGTATCAGTTAGTATAAGCTACTCATATAGAATAGTATAGTATAGTTATTAGTACTAGTATAGTATTGTATTAGTATATATAGTTATAGTATATATAAGTATAATATGTATACAGTATAAGATATAGTTATAGTAAGATAGCTTATAGCTATGTCGTGAGCGTATATTTATATAATAATAGTATAGTATACTATATTATAGTATATAGTATAGTATAGTATAGTATATCTATAGCTGAGAGTATGCAATATTATGTTAGTAATTATAGTAAGTATAGTATGATATGGATATCTATGTTATAGAATATATAGCTTTATCATACTATAGGCTATAGTATAGTTAGTTAGTATAGTTATACTATAGCTATTATAGTTAGTATGTATAGCTATAGTTAGATAGTATGTTAGTATAGTATATGTATATATAGCTATTTATATTTTTTGTTTTATCTTATTTTAATATCACTGTTGGCATATAACAGTTTGGCAGCACGGACGTTCAAACAGCCTACAATTTTATACAGTATGCTGTAAGACTGGCGAGCATTTTTCCACAATCGTCATGCGATCGTAAAATGAATTTTGGCCAGTGAAAAGTGATGTGCTCACCTGTTCTTATTCGGCATATTATTTCTTACTTGCGTGTCGTCATGCTATACTCGCGCACGTGTGGCCCGTGCGCTCTTGTGTCTGTCTGTCGTTCTTAACCGTTGAGAGGAACACACATGTGCTGTTGACGTGTTATAGTCAGAGATGTGTGATATCTGGAGCTTCGCAATCCGGCTCTTATCTTACTACACAGTCCCTAATATGCTACAGTACGTGAGATGAACTATATTATAATACTATAATATCTATATATTATATATATATATGTACTTGGTGTGCTGTGTGTGTGTGAATAATTCAAATAATATAAAGGTTTAATACACGGCTTTCGAGACTAATCATTTCCGCTCAGGCTTTTCCTCTCGCAGGCGACACAACCACAGATACACAGAGACAAGCCGAGGAAGAGCTTGTACGTTTCTTCGAAAGCTCGCGATAAAACTTAAACCACCCTTTACTATTATTTGAATTTTGTTTTTTTTTTACTACATGGCGTTCGTCGTCAAGTGATATTGACATATCTTGATCGTATCTATCTATCTATCTTCTCATCTAGCTATCGATCTAAATCTAGCTATCTATCTATCTATCCATTAGTATATATATATTATATCCATTAATTCCTTATACGTATATATATATACTATATATATATAGATATATCTATATATATATATCTATATCTATATCTATCTATATCTATATCTATATATATATATATAGATATATCTA